TGCAATCGTCAGTTGGCTTCGGATCTTCAAATTCGCATGTTTGTGAAAAGACTGGGCTACTGCGAAGGAACGCCTGGTTGAAAACAGTACAAAGTGTTGGAGGCCTTCCTTTTGAGAGAATGTGGGTTACAAAAGCTAGCCCTGGAGAGGATAATGGGGATTATGGATCATTAATTGTGGGTTTCTCAAGCACTGGATTCACAGCAATAATTAGACGTTTTTATCGCTCGGCTGGAAGCAGTATATCACGTCCGCGTTCAGTCGCTGCCATATTGGCTCCTCCACTCTGTGGAAGCATTGCTGCGCTGTCCTGGCATTACCTCGTGTCTAATCCAATCAAGACACGCAAACTCAGGTGTGCAGCATGTGCATCAATAAGGGGATCTTTAATTCTTGTACTCAATGGCTGTCTGTTGCCATCATTTCTAACTGCTTTGTTATATTTTAAGAGGAACCCAAGTTTACAACAACCAGTTGCCGCGACTTTTCTAGACTTCTGTTACAATCCATATCTCGGTCGATCAAAGCCGTATGTAATTGGCCTTGGTGCTTTCCAGGTTGTACTTGGCTATGGACTGGCCAGCTGGATTTATACGGAGGAATTTATTAAAACAAGAAATAACAAAAAGAAGCTGTAAGGAAGTCAAGGATTTCACATACCTTTGTTGTGAAAAGTAAACACAGTTACTAGACTAGTGAAACGGCTTTTGAAATTTATGGTTTGACCTTACGAAGTATTGTAAGAGCCCATTAAGCAGCCAGCCTAGTAGCCCACCAGCTAATTTTAGAAACCCAGGGGAGCTATTAATTCCATGATCACCTCAGTTAAGAAATGTGTAATCATTCAAGAACAATAGCAAGTGTGCACAAAATGGGCGATAGAAGAAATGTTCCTTTTGGTCATTGTTGTCATTGGTTCCATCGCTGTAACCAATTTTTTTGGTCACAGTCTGCAGTTTATGATCCTTTTTCTTCCAGTGTTGAATTTGTTCTCAAGTGCGGTGTACTATTAATTTTAGTGGCTTGTCAATCATGATTTGATTACAATTTATTGCACAAGGGCGGTGATGGGATGATGATGCACCTTAAGATATCTTAATCCACGTAAGATAGAGAGTCTATCCTTAATTAAACATTTTCAAATATTTCACCTCAGGGTCAGAAATTTCTTTTGGCAATTATTCTTTATATCAATATTATCATGCATATAAATAAAGAATGTTTAAGGCTATTCAGAGTTGCCAACCCAGACTTTCCAAGAGCAAATTTTAATTAACAAAAATGGGTCCCAACAATGACTACAATGTACATTCTGGCTGCTGCTTTTAATTAATAAAAGAGTAGAATCGAAGTACCAGGGGAAAAACCTCTCTGAGTAAAGGAGAAACAAACTCAACCCACATAATTATGGAATTATGGCGTTGATACTGAGTTCAACCTGGGTCGGATTGCTATCATTACATCAATTTATTTTTCTTGCTAGTCTAAAGACATTTTGCAAAAAAGAGTAATTTGTGATCATCGGTGTGCCACATACCATGCAGGTGAAGTGTGACCTGTTACGTCAGAAAAATAAGCAAGAGCAGTTGCATCAAAAAGAAATATTAATCTTGATGCAAGATTAGTCATGCGTCACTTTCTTCAACGTTGCTCATTTGCGTGCTATATGACTTGAAGGTGAAGCATAATTTGTTGAATCAGATAAATAAGCCTCACCTACATAAAAAATGTTTTCTGAGATGCAAGTAATCACTCTATATTTTGTTAGACGCAACAGGTAATACATAATGTGACATAGCAAGCCAATAAAATTGCATGTGCACAACAGACATAAATAAAACTGTAAACTCCCTAGAGAGCTATTTTTTAAAGCACCTTTATGGCTTTTAGGCATTTTTTAACATATTTTTGGTAGTTTTTAATCCTTGCTTTTAAATATGTTTTAGGCAATTTTTTAAACTAATTTTTGGTATCTTTCAACAAATGGATAGCATAGCCATATTTAGTACAGGTAAAGGAACTTGACCTATTTTCAAGAAAAACATTTTGAATGTGTTGTAGGCAGTTTCTAACGTACTTTTGGTAGTAACGTTTTTTAAAATGGTTATACAGAATATTTAGATTTTAAGGAATTTTCCAGTTATTTTTTTACTCTACGGCATGTAGAAGTTTTAACTCCCATAATAATTTGTTGTACTTGTTAGTGTCACGAATCTCATGCTTTGTCTAAGTATTTTTATGTTCGGAGGGTTTTTTGTTCCTTTCATGTTTGCATCTTTAGTGTATATGCACTTAATCATCTCGCTTTGGTCGAATGTCTTCATTGGGGCGATCATGCTTACTTGGGTTTAAAAACAGACAACTCTAACAAGCAGACACTCACTGTAAACAGAGACCAAAAATTGCTGTCCTTGCAATTTAACCTCTAAACACCCACACATTTAACCTTCCATGAGGAGCATTGTTATCAATTTTAATAATATACAGATTTAGCCAGGGCTAAAAGCAAAGCTCTCGATAATATTTATAGTTTGTTCAAACAAAATATAAAATCATGTAATGCTAAGCGAGGAAGGCATGCAACGCCGGAAAACCGATGAAAAACAACAAATTAGGTCTAATTAGCAAAAAGAACTTTGCACGTGCAGCACACTTTTTTTGTACATTCCTTTGCCGTTGTTTTGCACAACTACCACGTGAAACTTCCAGAAACTTCTTAGTTACACGTTTTATGGAGGAAATGTCGTACGTGTTCCTGTTCACTTTTTTTCACTGCCACTCATTTTCACCTTGCATTGGTGGCTGCTAGCATTTCTCATTATTTTTGTCACCGCCGCTACACAAAATTTCCATGTTGCTCTTCCAACAAAAAAATATCTCCTTCAGTTTTTCATCTCTCCCTCTAAATCCCTGTCGCCCTTTTGCTCGTTGAGCTTCACTGGCCTGCTGCCCACTTCCTCTTTTTCTCTTTCTCTTGCTCTATATTCCAAATTTGTGGACATGACAATTTATCTAAGTTTAATGCTTTAGACAACACGAATACAGAGACAATTTGAGCTTTCTGTTTTCATCTTTATTGACTCTTTTGTTGTCTCTGCTTTACAAGGTGCTGGTGGCTATGCGATTTCCTGTCAAAATAACCTCGAGTTGCATTTGGGTTGCAATACCTGTTAATTGAGTTATTTTACATTGGTATGCCTGTGGTGCGGACAGACGGTCTCTTGGGCGGGCGGGCGGTGTACGGTCACGTGATTACCAAATTTTCTCAGATGGGTACATTACTTCATTTTCTTACCCATGGTGCTCCGCTGGTGTGCTTCGCGCACGAGAGCTCTGCTATAAAATTTGTAATGGGCATCACTAAAAAGTAGTGTTTCAGCTTTGAAGTAAGCCCTTGTGTCTGTTTTTGTCTGTTGCTTGCTCATACCTTTACGACCATTATTTCCCGAAATAGCAGCTGGGATGTGACTAAGATTTATCACTGCTGGGTATATTCAATAAGCAGGCAGGGAATTGAAGAGTTAGGAAGTTCTTTTGGGTCTTTTGTGTCCGGGGGTGTCACAGTAGCTAGGTGGGGGAGGGGGGGTTGGAATCCCCGGCAAATAGTGACAGCCCTGCTTGCTCACAGGCTATGTCAGGCAAGAGACATTTAATGGAACTCCTTTACCTTTATCCTTTGGTGAGGTAAAACAACAACAATTAGACAAAAGGAATATAACAAAACAATTTCCACTGTAATTGTACATACTGTAACTTTCTTTACAATTATGCAATCTTATTTCATAATCCTTTACCATGCAACAGTTGTTATTAATTTAGTCAAAACCTTGCATTCCAAACAGCCATTGAAACAATTATTAAAGTTAATAAGAACTTTAACATTAATACAAACGGGGGGTGACAGCTCTAACAAGGACTGTTTCGGGAGAAAAACAAATTAATTCCGGGAATCTGGAGATTTTGCTGGGAATCGGGAAACCTGAGAAAATTTTCGGGAAATATGAGATATTTTCGGGACATTGAGCAAAGATTTGATATTACATGTTATCAAATAATATATACAGTCATATGCACCCCGTGTATGCCTTGTATTTTATGTACTTTGACACTTGAAAACGGCTTAACTCCCCATGATATGAAAGACCAATCAGCAACGTTTCCAACTAAAATAGCATGAAGTTCGAGTACGATTGACCACGCGCAATCCCCAGCGGATTGACACAAGAACCGTACCGGTGTAAGGCACATACTATCAGTTCACACCAGATCCCATCATTCATTAGTTCAGGGGTATTTTCACGCTCCACGTTAACGAGTTTTAAGAGCACATTCCACTGATTGCATACTGGAGAAGGAAGTAATAGCTGTAAAATAAACGTGAGTAAAAGAAAGCCGATAAACCACGACAGGAAAGTGAAAATGTAACCCAGTTGGACTTTTACTGTGTGTTATGACGTTTTCCACATTTTCCCTGAGCAACTAGTCAAAATATAGCAGCACGCGTTAGCATGTTCTTTATAACAGCCGAAAGTTTTTTCGAAAATAGAACATCGCCACTATGTGTGTTTCTAGCTAAGGCAAGATTTGTTAAGGGAAACAAAAAATTTTGCAAGATCACAAAACGATGGCTAAGTCTGACTTAAAAAACATTTGAGGAATGGTTCTGGGTACTAAGTAGTTGGTTTTTCCGAGATGTTGTGGCGCACGTATCAATGCGCTTAGAAGAGGCTGTAATAACCTGAGATCAGGCTCTATTTTCGTTTCGCTTTGAAGCGGTAGCCGTTAGAGAGAATGTATGAGAACCGCTCAAATTGGGCCTGATCTCAGGTTAAGGCTGTAAGGGATGCTGATCCTGTCGTGGTTACCACCTCCTCAAATGTGCGAGGAGGAAGAGGGAAGATTGATGGACTCCCAGAGACGAAAGCTTCCTCTCTGCCCCCTCCCCCAGAGCCCTCACCTAGCTACGCCATTTCTGAGGAGAACCATTTGGAAGGTTAACAGAATGGCATTTATTTATAACAATGAAATCGAAGAGAGTCGCAAATTCTTACCGATAGTAAAAAGAATTTAGCAAATATAGTTAATCACAGCTGAGGTTATATCAAAGTCCCACAAGAGCTCGAGAGATGTCATTTTCACAAGCCTCAGAATCTCGTTATCTGGAAAGGTTTAGGAAATGGAAAATTTACTTGTCAAGGGGAAGGGTTTCCCAACCTGTAGACAAGGAAATTGGACGACTAGTACTGTTCAAAGCACGTACCCCCAGGCCTGTCTTTCAGTGTAACCAAGTTGCCTCACTGAATAGTGAAATAACACATCCAATTTATGTATCATGCCTTGATGGCCTTAGAAATGACATTTTTCACATATCAAACACAAACAAACTAGTATAAAAGCAACACTGGATAACCGTGGACAGAATCTGGTCAGATGAATTAGATAGATCGCTGGCCATTGCCCACAACCCATTCTATACAGCGAACAGGACGCCCGTGTCAGTTGCACCCTTGCAGTACCATAATAGGAGACCTTGCTTCATGTCAGATGCTGGCAATTTTTGGCATCTACATAGCTCGAACACTAATCGAGGTTCTGAGAAATTTCCAGGACGCTTATGGTAGGGCATAGAAGAGGTTTGGTGACAAGCACCTCTTGAGTTATCACAACCATGTTTACCATAGGAAGAGTACAGCGCTGTTTGTTTTTGTTTCGGTCTCTTGAAACACGACCTACAGTTACCAACAGTAATTAAAACAACAGTTGAAAACTTGAAACATTTACGTAAACAAAAAAACGAAAATCATTTAACCTTGTTAAA